TTGTCAGATAATATGTACCGTGAGAAAGCATATCATGGCTGGAGGTCCAAAGCGCTTGCCTTTTACAGTTCCACCTCTTGTTTTTTCTGCCCTCAAGGTTAGTTCTTTTGTGGATTGGGGACTTGTTTGTGAATGCTGAATATATTTGGATTCAGGATAGCTGAATTTTGTATCAAAACTTAGTTCAGAAATCGTGGATCTGGAAAATGTGTTAGCACCTCTTTGAGGAGCTTCTTGATGTGCTTTCATAAACACAATATTCTGAAGCTGGGCTGAAATTGAGATATGTTGGTTTCCCCTGAACTTGAACTGTTGCTTAAAGTCACAGCCAGTAACATGCTTAGTATGGACTTGCATGTATCAGCATCAGTGGCTAGGAAAAAGGCACGATATCTTGTTCCCTATATTTTATACTTATATATCAGCCAAAATCTGAACGTGGCTTCCATTAATTTCATAATATAATTAGGGAAATTAATCGATGCATGATAGATCACGCTTCTTCTTTGAACATCTTAATTGGTTTATTGACCATCAATAATGTTATAGTATAACTTGAGTTCTAATTAGCTAGTCGGAAAGCTTATGGATTTTCATGATAATTAGAAAAAAAAAAGCCATTAGGACGTGCAATTTCCTTTTGTAGAACTAGCATGCACATGTTACATAGAGTTGCAGCTACACTTGTGCACACATATTACTGCAAAAATATGGAAGCTCTTTTTTGGGTAAGCTTAAGTTCTCTGGTTTGCTATAATCTTCTTGCATCAACATACATCCTTCAGTTTTACCTATTTATTTATTTATTTTGCAATGTGAATTCCACAGATTTTGTACTATTTCTTAATAAAAAGGTGTTTTATTATAACCTTTAAGATATTTCACTGTTTCTCAGGATAGAGTGGTGCAGATTCAAGCTAAATTTTTATGTACTTTTGTTGGTTTAGTTGGTTAGGCGATTGCAAGGACTAGATGGAGAAGTTGCTGGAGAAGAGGTCCCAGCAACTCCAAGGAAAATATTTCAGCTCCTGAATCAGGTAATCTTGCTTAAGTCATCTATGATGATTTCTAACTTTGTACTGAAACTGGTCTTCATTGTCATCTAATTGGGGATATTTGTTCATATTTGTGTTGCATAATATGATACATTGGCCAACAGATTGTGCTTTCGCTAAATTCCTTATGGGTGTTGACAAAGTATTATCGTTTTAGATTGCTTTATTTTGAGATCTTTTTAGCCCAAGTATTTGGTCATTTATGCAAATGTGGTCAAGATTTTTGTTGCAGACTGGTCTATAGCTGCATCTCAATCTTGTTCTTATTTTGTTTGTCTGCAATTTGAGGGTTCATTTAATGTGTAGCCCAGTTAATGTGTCAAAATGGTATCAGATAACTGTATTATAAGTTTTTATTTTTTTTTATTTTTGGTAAGATGACGAGTTAGCCTCATCTATTTTGTCAAATCAATTATTGATTTCTTTTCTGAGTGTCAATTACAATTTGTATTACATTGCAGATAATTGAGGCACTCTCAAATGTTCCATCTCCTGAACTGGCATTGAGATTGTACTTACAGTGTGCTGAGGTAAAGCTTTGACCATGTCTAGGCTGTGGAAGATTAGTTGAGAAAACTTTGTTGGAAGTTGATATTGTACAAGGACTAATAAATATTAGTGCTAGACAAAATGAACTACAAATGCTTTGCATTGTGGTATGGTAATTCTTGTATTACCTATTTTTCTCAAGGCAGTACTAGTGCCAAAGTACTGAGTTACCATCTGAGTGATTTTACAGGTTGGAGGAAAGGCTTTTTGTGTCATTGACTAATGTTCAGGTCTAGAGGAACGTAGAATGAGGATCCCTGATTTTGGATTGCAATATTTCTCAATATATTGAAGCAGTAATAATAATACAATTGGTACAGGCTTTTATCGAGTGTTCACGTACAATTGGGTATAAAAGAAAATATCCCATGCTATGTATCTTGCCTTAGATTTAAATGCTCTTGTGCAACCTGTCTTAATTTGACCTTAGGAAAATTTTACTCAAGTTCAGGATGTAACTCTATATAAGCCCCTTTAAGACATAGCTAGCTTAGAGGAATCTTTTTGTTTTTAGTTTGCTCTCTAACGATTATTGATACTGGATATATCCTTTGTTTTGATCTTTTCTACATGTTGTCCCCAGGCTGCCAATGACTGTGATCTTGAGCCAGTTGCTTATGAATTTTTCACACAAGCATTTGTATTATATGAGGAAGAAGTTGCGGTAACTGCTCAGTTATTGTTTTCTTCTTGTGTAGTCGAGCAAATATCTCAGCCAAATGTCTCTGATCAGGTTGCCTATCAAAGTTTGGTTTTAACATGTATTCTCGCTATTTGGTGAAAGGATTCTAAAGCCCAGGTGACTTCTATACACCTAATTATTGGGACTCTTCAGAGGATGAATGCATTTGGTGTGGAGAATAGGGATACTCTAACACACAAGGCCACTGGGGTAGGACCAATGTAGACAATAATTCGTTTGTGAACTGGTAGCTGTAAATCCTGGCCTAATGATATATTTTTTTTCAGTATTCAGCAAAGCTTTTGAAGAAACCTGATCAGTGTCGGGCAGTTTATGCCTGTTCACACCTCTTTTGGGTTGATGATCAAGATGGAATCAAGGACGGAGAAAGGTGCCTGCTGTGGACTAATATTTCTTTGTTTTTAAGTTGTCATGTGCATACCAAGATAGTGTAACTGGATCATGCTCTTGTTATTTTATCCCGTTCCAAAATTTTTTAAAATATTCCAGTGTGTATCAGGTTTAAATTGATTTTTAGGCATAATTGGACATGATGTGCCGGTGTTCTCTTGATGATAGGGTTTTACTTTGCCTCAAGCGATCTCTCAGGATTGCAAATGCTGCACAACAAATGGCCAACGTTACAAGGGGCACTGGTGGACCAGTTACACTCTTTGTTGAAATACTGAATAAGTGCGTTGATCCATTGGTGATGAAGCATGTCATTTACACAAAAAAACAAAGAATTTGCACTTTGATGCTGAATGGGCGACTAAATTTCCTCCTGTGATGTTTCAGGTATCTTTATTTTTTCGAAAAGGGGAACCCCCAGATAACAAGTGCAGCAATTCAGGGTCTTATAGAATTAATAAAAACTGAGATGCAGAGTGATACAGCGACACCAGATCCAGCTTCGGATGCTTTCTTTGCCTGCACGTTACGGTATATTGAATTTCAGAAACAAAAAGGTGGTGCAATGGGTGAGAAATATGATTCCATCAGAATTTGACGCTTGGTGTTTGACCATTCCTTTCATGAAGATGGTTGGATGGAACTGATGGTCATTGTGGTTGAGGCTGCTTGTCTTCTGCTTTGCACATAGTATACACACTTCCAATGTAACAAGTCCATAACTTAGTTTTCTGTAGATTTTCATTTTCCATACTTTTTCCTCTCCTTTTTTCCTTTATAATTTTAATTGCTTTGTTCCCTTCCCAACCTTCCGCCCACTTCTTTTTCCTCTTGTTTGGTTGTTTGAACTTGTATCCATTTTCTTCTTCCCGTGTATGTAGAAGTTGCTCTTGACTTCTTCCCGTCATATGGCATCATTAGTACAAAAATTTTATTTATTTGATCCGTTTTTGATGACCGAGTACTATTTATAATATGAGTGCAATTCTTAAATCTCGGTGGGCGGAATTTAATTGTCTGATCCCCAAAGTTTTAAGGATATGAAAGATTAAAAGATTTTTTCCATAAAATTGTTGCAGTGCCCACAGAAGATGACTTTATTCAGGGAAGGCAGCCTCTTCCTCTCCCCACTCTGGCTTGGTGGTGTGGTTCTGTTACATGAAAAAAGTGTCTTAAATGATGATAAACTTATCGTTCCATGTGGAGTCTAGACTCGTGTGGAGGACTTGGGGACTTCACTGTTTCGTATTGAAAACCCAAAAAGAAACGTAGCGCCGAACTTGAGCTGAAGTTTGAAGTGGCAAAACGCTGAATTCTAAAACTTATCCCTTCTTAAATCGGGCAAGATTTTATTCAGACTTGAGAGGGTTTTTTTTTTTTTTTTGAAAAATTATTTGGCTTTTAATTTGAGTTGTAACAGCAGGATTTGTTTAAAATAATGACTCTCATTTCTCTCTGGGAATATTAAATATGTATTCTATTATCTTAATTGGTTCACACCTTCAATTAATGAATTATAAATTCCAACAATTTTTGTGGGATGATGGATGAAGGAAGGATAGAAGGGAAAACGGTATTTGGTTAAAGGACAAAGTATTTTGAAATCACCCAATGGACCATGTTCGTTAAAATAAGTAAATCGTGCCACTCCACTTCATAAACCTGGGAAAAAATATGACGTTCAGTAGGGAGGAGTGACGAGGAAAATTGTGAAGAAGCCTCATTTTGTGTATTTCTTAAAATGGGCTGTAGGACAAACCAAGAACTTTTAATACTCCGAGAACTTGCTTGAGAAACCCCCCTCCAAAAAAAAAAAAGGCCTACAAAGTTGAGCAAAACCAATGATCATAAGTGTCCCTGGCTAAATTGATGGCTCATAGGTGCAAATCTAGTTTCTTGAACCAGCTATTGTAGTCCGACCTCAGAAGGCTAGAATCGTTTAACGTGATCAATACAATATGAGCTTCAACTAGGGTCATAAACCATGCTAAAATTTGTTCACTTGCTGCCTTAATTATTTCTTCATTTTGACAAGCATGTTTCGTTTTGTAATCCGAGGAGGTCCAACATGGAATAATACTAGAGCAAGAAGAATAAACCATGCCAGATGGTCTCCTAAGATTCGAAATCAATTCTAACTTGAAGTTTAATTCCAAGGTGATCATGGTGTTGTACTTTACTGTATGTATAGATGTTCCTCTTCTATATCTAAATAACAAGTTCTTTAATTCGAGAACTATAATCTTTGACAATTTCAAAAACCTTACAAAATACTTTTACAATAAAGAAAAGAAGACAGCATATACAAAATATATACTTGTATAACCACGTGTAAAATGAAATCTGATAAACAAAGTTTACTCAAAAATAGAAAAAAAAAAAAAAAAGAAGCTCCAGAGAAATCATTTTCTATGAAACTTGGTTCATTAAGCATATGAAACTTGGTTCATTGAGCATCTAAAGTAGTCTAATTTTTTGTTGACTTTAGTGGGTATGTCATGTTGTTTCATCCACAAGCTATTGTGCTGCAGGGACTCGTGCCCCTTTTTCCTGCTGTAGGCTAACTAACTGAGAATAGATGCCTTCAGGTCTGCTTATGAGCTGCTTATGGCTGCCAATTTCCACCACTTTGCCATGTTGCAAAACTGCAATATTGTCAGCCTCATGTATTGTGGACAATCTATGTGCAACTAAAATTGTTGTCCTTCCTTCCATTAGCTTATCAAGAGCTTCTTGAACCTGCATTTCAGCTGCTGCATCCAAAGCACTAGTTGCTTCATCCAAAAGAAGGATTGATGGATCTTTTAGTATTGCTCTAGCAATTGCCACCCTCTGCTTCTGCCCACCTGATAATTGCACCCCTTTTTCACCAACATGAGTATGGTACCCATTAGGCATCCTGCTGACGAATCCGTGAGCATTTGCCGCTTTGGCAGCTTTCATTATCTCAATTTCTGATGCCATTTCATTGCCATATCTAATGTTCTCATATATGGTAGTAGAAAATAGTACTGGCTCTTGCTGCACTAGACCAATACTTAGTCTTAAAGATTTCAAGTTATAACTCTTGATGTCAAATCCGTCTATCAGTACCGTGCCTGATGTAGGATCATAAAATCTCATTACTAGAGAAATTACAGTACTCTTTCCTGAACCACTTTGACCCACTACTGCCAAACTCCTCCCTGCTGTTATTTTCAGATTCAAGTTCTCGAATATAGTAATACGAGGCCTTGCTGGGTACTGAAAGTTGATATTCCTGAACTCAATATCTCCTCTGATTTTTGATGCTATTCTTGCAGTGGGATCATCAGAGTTTATTGCTGTCTTCCTGTGAAGAATATTAAAAACTGAACCAAGTGCTTGTGATCCCTTTACAATGTCAGGTGCCAGAGCAAGTGTCTCTGCCACTGCAAAGGCAGTGACAAGCAAAACCATGAAAGACTTGATAATATCACCAAAGTTTGAGCTCTTCTGTTCAATTAGAACAGATGCATACCAAAGGCCAAGAGCATATGAGCAAAACGCAAATAACTGAGTCAATCCATAACCAAGACCTGATATATGGCCGCGCAGAAGAGCTTGCCTGTTTGGTCCACTCAACTCAGATATAAATTGGATTGATATCCGCTCTTCAGCACCAAATGCAGCAACAGTACGTATGTTTACAATTGCTTCACGGGCTAAGGCAGTAGCTCGATAGTAAGCAGCGGCATAGTTACCTCCAAATCCTTTCAGAAATTGTTGCTAAAGAGAAGAATATGAATTTAAGACCCAGAATTTTTACATGTACTAATCTTTGCGACTTCATGATATGATTGAATATGCATTGCAAATACATGGTTGATGGAGTGAAAGCATATTACAAGGGGAAGATCGTCTAAAGAGTTATTACCTCAGCAATGGAAGCTCCAATCAGTAGAGGAAATGTGGCGATGATAACTGCTGCAATGCGCCAACTCAGGGTAAATGCAATTACAAATGAAGTCACTGTAAGTGCTACATTTTGGACGACTGTTGATAGCCGGTCAGCTAGTGCACTCCGTACTAATGTTGCATCTGCTGCTAACTTTGACACGAGTGAGCCAGTACTATTTTCATCCATATCAAACCAGCCAATCTCATTGGACAAGATAGCTGAAATTCAGAACTAATAAATGTGAAGCCTAGTTAAAATATACAGGAATATCATCTTATCAGAATCGAAAAGAACCTGAGAACATTCGCAGGCGCACTCGAGTAGTGAGACGCTCCCCCATCAACGTGTAGAAATAGTGTTGCAACAGATATATGGGGATGTTTAGAAGAGCTATTCCCAGAAATATGAGTGAAACGCGGTGAACTTCTTGTGTAATTCGGGTATCATCCTGAGCATAGAAAGCAGTCAAGATATAAGTGATTCCAAGTGCAAATAGAGGAGCTTCCATACCGGCCAGTGCTGCACCAATTGATCCAAATACAGCATATGGCCATTCTGGTGCATTTAGTTTGATCAATTGCCATATTGATGGAGAGGAATTCAAGTCTTGTAGTTTTCTGCCTTCTCTGTTTGAATGCAAATCTCCTGCGGTAATATCCTTAGACTCCTCCTGATGGTTAGTAACTTTGGGGTCTTCTCTAAAGCTAGAAGACGCTGAAGTTTTCACTGGATCTTCGGCGCTTAGATCTTTTGAGTGTTCTGACACTTGCAAGCTCACCAGTGATGCATAATCTCCTCCGCTGGACATCAGTTCTTCATGAGAACCCATTTCGGCAACTTGACCATGTCTTAGGACAATTATCTTATCAGCATCTCGAATTGTAGATAACCTGTGCGCAACAATAATGGTTGTCCGGCCAAACATGACTGTATCCAGTGCCTGCTGAACAATCATCTCAGATTCTGCATCAAGGGCACTTGTTGCCTCATCCAGAAGTAATATCTTTGGGTTTCTTAATACTGCTCTTGCAATGGCAATTCTCTGTTTTTGTCCTCCAGAGAGCTGAGTGCCCCCTTCTCCCACCTACAGTCAACAGAATGTTACAGAACTTGCAAAGACTGGCAAGGTCAAGGGTTACTTGAATGAAACCATAATGGTTTCAAATCTATGAAAAATTTATATCCTATAGAAGTCAACATATATCAAATTTGGCCTTTGTGGTATATAAATATGCCTAATTCAATGAACTCCAAGGATCATGTGTAGAGTGATTCTGATCATATACAGTGTGCACTTATATCCTACAATCTTATAGCACCTCGTTTTATTCTAGGTTAAAATTTCTAGTTTTGCAATCTACCTGAGATTGGTAACCGTCTGGGAGTCCCTGTACAAAAGAATGCGCATTTGCAGCTACTGCAGCTTCAATTACTTGATCCATATTAGCACCTTCTTTACCGAACAAAATGTTCTCAGCTATAGTTGTGCCGAACAATGCTGGTTCTTGACTAACTAATCCCATCTGTTCTCTCAACCAATTTAATTTGAGATCCTTCAGGTCATGGCCATCCAACAATATTCGTCCTAATTAATGTCCATTGGTTTAAAAAAGTTATAACTGAATCAAAAAGTCGAAGTGTGATTTTGGCTTTCAAGGAAATTGATTCTCCTAGAATAGCTTTAAATACCTGAAATAGGCTCGTAGAAGCGTTGAACTAGGGAGATGATGGTGCTTTTTCCTGAACCACTTGGACCAACAACTGCAATTGTTTGTCCGGCAGATACTAAAAAGCTGAGATTTTCAAAGATCATAGTAGGTCTAGCTGGGTAAGAAAAATAGACCTCAGTGAATTCGATTTCTCCATTGACGCCTGGCAATGCTTTGCCCTCATCAGACCTATTGTGTTGGTCGATATCATCTTCGATCATGCTCAAGATATTAGTGACAGCTGCACGCCCTTTGGCGATGCTAGCAAGATTTGGAGCAGCCTGACCAAGAGCACTGCAAAGACAGATTGAGAAATGATAACACGATTAATAGGATGTACAAACTGGATAGACGTGTGCACTTTCTTCTACTAGGCTTACAATCCACTGAAGAGCACATTGAGGATGGTCGTGAATGCTTTCCCGCCATTCGTGTCCCGATGCCTGACAAGTATGCTAGCATACCACAGAAGCAATGCCCAGGCACAAAGCAGAAGCCCATATGTAAACCCAACACCAACTCCTTTGGCAATGCCAATCTTCTTCCCCAGTCTGAGGGCCTTATTAAGTGATATGGAGTATGCTTTAGCTGCTTTTTCCTCTCCCACAAATGAGTATACAGTACGAACCTGTGAAATGACCTGACCGAGCCGAATGAAACCCCAATTAGCATGAATAAAAGGTCAACTAGGGAAATCATGGATTGAGGACACAATTTTATAGATAGTTTTCAAGCGTGGAACTGCCTGATTGAAATTGCAGTATTATCAGATTGGAGCAGAATTTTGCTTGACAAATGGTGTAGATCGAAGGATAAGAAAGTCCAAAGGAGGCTACCGAAAAGTATCACTCTCTGCTTTCCTTTACTTCTATGTACCATACAAATGTGCAAGATAATGAACTATTTCTACACCCAAATATGTAGGACAGTAGCGTGTTGAATACTGCTAGCAGCATTCTGTTTGGATGTCACTGTTGAGCAGAGAGCAGGAAATGCTTTTAAGCTGTAACTCACCTCTTCTGCTATCTTTCCAGCTTCAGCATAAGCAGCCTCACCCTTTTGGGAGATGGTGGACATAATCAGCGTATAAGCTCCTCCTGCAATAGCTATAAGTGGAACAACAGCTAAGGTGAGTAGGGTAAGCTGCCATACTGAAATGAATCCAATGGCGAACCCCACAAAAAATTGAGAAAGATAACGCAAACTGTGTCCTATCTGCACAAACACAGACTTTGACCTGTTAGCTGTCTAGTAAAGATTTACAATGAATGGTTATGAACACTGTCCTCATTGGTTTCCTCATTTACCTTGTCACCTATAGCATCTTGCACCAGTATGGCATCACTTGAGATGTGAAAAGTTAAATTTTTGTCCATGGCTTCAGTGTCAAAAAAACTAATATTCTTCTTCAGGATTGACTGGAGATACTTCAATCGCAAACGGGTTGTTTGCCTTTCCCCGGTTTGTGCCCAACATGCAACTCCTGGGAACCATAAAGGAAATTGGAAACTTTAACTTTATTGGAAAAACTTACTTGATTAGCATAGAATAGAAATTAAGCAAGGAAGAAAAAGACGTACCAATCCATGCTGACATCAGAATAACTAAGCCAAGATAAACCAAGTACACTGCATACTGCAAGAGATGAAGCCGTGCTTAAAACATGGAACTGCAGATCATGAAGTTTTAAGAAGGCCATCATCAAGTGTAAGACCACATACTGAACATTTGATTCGTACAGCAGTTTCTAGTCCAATTCATTCTTTATCTAAAGGCAAGCATTCTCTGGAAATTCAATGTTATATTGATTGATGAAGCAAATAAATTAACTAACAGCTAATTCAGCAGTGTCATTAGCACATTCAACCGAAGAACTTCAACACACTTGTACCACCAATTGATAATCTGGTTCCAGTAGTAGCCATGGGTTAAAAGCTGAGTTGAATGCCGGAGTACTATACTCATAAAAGCTACCCCACCTACCTGGTGTGGTGTCCTTATAAAACTCTGAAATTCATCTTAGACAATGGAAAAGAAAACCTTAAACAAATTGTTGCACATGACTGAAAGAAACAGGAGTAAAGCACTTGAAGCTAGAAGGTCATGAAAAACGTACCTTGGAAACCACTGAAGCCATTTGATGAGGATTAGAAGAAAGATGTCCTAAAGAGTCAATCATACGGCCGAACAATACAAAGAAAGCAGGAAGTGCAGCCCCATGCAAGCATGCTCCGGTGCTTCCAAAGAACATCAAAATGTAGTCGATTTTATCTGCTGCAGCAAACAGCCCTAAAACTGAAACAACCTTTTTCTTTTGTGAACTTGAGTCCATTACTGTCTGAACCTTTCCTGCTTGAGCATTTTGCTCAAAATTCTGCTCGGTAAAAAGTTCAACCTCTCCCATACCCGTTACCAAAAATCTCCCTTAGGAGAAGACAAAGATTTTGTGCTGAGAACTCCAAGAATGCAGACACGGGAAGGCAGAAATTTGTATCACGGAGAACTCGGGGAAAGTGGACCGTCTTTTCCCGCCAATAAATGATTGTCTATATGGTTGGCCAACCACAAACTAGTTTTCCCAACTGTGATTTGAATTCCAGTGCTTCTTGTGGTCAGGATTCTTAAATCGCATGTAATATTCATATAGTACATTATTCAGGACAACCACCTTCTTGCTTTCATCAGTGAGTCCTGTCTTGGTAGTGCAAGACTTGCGTTTTCTTTTGTGGCTCTCGTTCTGGACCAACCAACCCAATTAATGCTAGAATACCATTTACGTAGTATTATATTTGCGTTGACTATTTAAACATAGGACCAAGAAATCATGTGGCGGAGTTCAATCAATATGCGTCAGAAAATTATCCACGGTCTTAACAAGATAGAAATGTAGAAATATCGTGTCAAGGATAAATTATTTTGCAGAACCCTGTTCACTACGTAAAAATGAAGAAGTCCAGTAGCTTCACTTCTCGGAAGAGTTCTTGTTTCTGTTACAGAGGCCAATTTAAGGGTAGACAAGGACATTACCAGCAAACCCGCTGGCAATTCTGGCTGTCAACCGTCAAGAGCTCAATATTGATTGCTGACGGCTAGACTCCTCCTGCTGATGGATTGTATTCACAAATTCCCGTGGAGATGTAGTTATCAATCATAGCTTCTATTATTGCTTTTCGCAAAGTGTTCAGGACATTTGCATGTGCATTAGTTGAGTTAAGGACGGATCGCATTAATAAGATCAGAAAACTAGGTGTCATTTAATTTTGGAAATTTGTTTCATACAACGTGGAACAATTCTAATCCTGGGATGTCATTAGCCGACCGACTAAGGGGTCACTGTAGTAATGGCTGTGTAAAGCATTTGCAGGGCTGTGCAGCTAGACAATCATTTGGAGGTCCCTTCATGGCATCTAGACAATCAAATTCATTTTTAACGAGGACAATATGTCATTAACGAGGACTATCGGACTGCAATATTTCATCACAGGACCATAGGTGTCATGCATTCTTCCCCAGCAGGTCAGACAAATGGGGGCACTTGCCAGTTCTTTGGATGGTACTAGCAAATTACGCTGTCGTCGGACATACATAACTAGGTCGTGGACTTCTGGCTTTTCTTGAAATCAGGAGAGCAGAAGAAGCAGGGAGGGAGTTTTCCAGAGAGGGTTAGACATTGCAAGTCATAACTGTACCAGTGTTAATTTGGTTTTGGAGGATCGAGTTGTTGGGAAGGATCGGACGTTCCACACCTAATGTAACGCGAGTTTTCCAGCCCCTTACCCAGCGGGAAATTAATACTGGTGAGTACAAAATTTCTGGGGCCGTGCCCTGTGACTTGTCCCGCTGTCCGTTCAGCTGAACCAAAAATTATATAGTTCACGTGATACGGTAATGGGTGGAGACTTATGGTGTTTATGAACCCTCATAAATAGGGATGGCGGCGGCCGGCGGGGTGGAGCGGGAGATCCCTCCCCCCATGCCATCCCCGGGCCCCTGCCGTGCTCTAAAATCTCTCTTACTCCGTTTTTCACTTTTTTTTTAATCTCCAGCCCCACTCCATACTTCCACGAGTGCCTCTATGGTTGTGTAATTATATTTTTTATTTTGATATTATTTTTTATATATATATATACATCAATAACAATATTGTTGTAGGTCACTTTTTTACATTTTTAGCTAAATATTCTATGTAAAATCAATCACTTTGATTTTTTTAATTCATTTGTCTATTTTTAATAGCAAATATAAACTTATAATCATCATATTCTTTTAAACACTTTAAGAAAATTAAAATAATCTAAAAATAATCAAATACGCATATACAATATTGATATGTAATATGTGTCTAAAATTATATATAGTATTTATTTTTAAAAAAAATTTATATTAGTAATACGGACGGGGCAGGTAAACTCCACCCCGCACCCCAGCCACCCTCGCCTCCGCACCATGGCCCACCACTTCCCCGCATGACAGGTGCCCGAAGGTGGTAAACGGATTGGGGGAAAATGCAACCTAAACTGGGCCGTGGAGTTATTTCAGAGCAAACTACATTGCGAGCATTGTTATAGGATTGGCTTCTTGCTATGCTTTTGATGACGAGCCCAACATTTGATTTTTTTTTATTTTTTATCTTTAGAAACAAAGAGGAACGCTTGCATTATTACCATAAAAAAAAAAAGACTTGTGATTAGGAAAAAAAAAAAAAAGCAAAGCTTATAGCATTCGTCTCTAGATTGTTTCAATGAATTTTTTCAGTGCTATCAAATCTTAAAAAGGTTACCATTGTATTCTAAACTGAGCCGATAGCTGCTCAAAGGAAAAAAAAAAAAAAAGGAAAAAGGAAAAAACTGAACCCTTAGATTTTCTTTTTTTTTTTCAACAGACATTAGATTTTCGTAGTTACACCTTTGGGGCCGTATTCAACATATGGACCTCCGGCAGGGCGGCCCAGCCTATAGATACTGGAGTCAGTCTATTAAAATCCAATATATTACCCCGGTTTACTACGAAAATAAAGTTGGCCAAAATTTTGAGACGCAAACCCGCAGAAAATAGCAAAACCCCGGTTTGGGTTTTTGGTTGAAACTCTCTCCGATTTTGCCTCCTCAGCGCCACCGTGCCGCCTTCTCGAAGAGGAAGTAGACTGTTTCACCAAGCCTCCAAGTGGGAATAATCCGAAATTGTTAGTAAAAATTGCGGGGCTAATTAATAGTATTAATAATAACAGTAATAATGGGGTGTCGGCAACGGGATTTCATGTTCTGTGAAATGTGTGGAACGATGCTGCGTTTTAATTCTCCAAAGTACGCTCACTGCCCCGTCTGCAAATTCAAGAAACGTGTCAAAGGTATCTTTGTTTTTTTTTTATTGGGAAGTATTTTTCTAGTTTAAGTTTGTTTTTTTCAATTGATTTTGATTCCTATGATGGGTTTTCCTTTTTCTGCTTTTCTTGTTTCTGTTTTTGTGAATTTTTGCTCGTAATGAGGTGTTCTGTTGTTATACGTGTGGTTTTCTTGGTTGTCTACTTCCAGATATCGCTAAAAGGGAGATTCGCTATACTCTTACTGCTGAGGTAGGATTTCTTTTGTTCTCTTCTGAAACATGTTGTTGCTGGAATTAGAAAGCTCAATAATACTTACTTCCTCAGAGCATCTTCATTAACTGGTTGAAATCCTCTAACTCTTTTTAAGGTTTTAGTTGTTTCAGATTACGGGATAACTTTTTCTGATACTCCCAATATATTTCTCAATTCCCATTCATTAGCTGCAAGAGAACATAGTCTTTTTGTTTAAAGAGAAGTTCAATCTAATCCGGATGACATAAGAAGAAATGGTGCTCATAAGTGCTAATATGGCCTCCTGGATGGTGTTGTGTTTGGCTTAACTACTTAGCTTTTTACTTTACCTTTCTTATCTTCTGTCATTCTTCTTTCTTTGCCACTTCAATCAATTGATTCTTGCTATTGTGAGATCTGGTCTATTTTGTTTTGTTGATTTAAGTCCTTTTGTTCACATGTCATATCCCCCAAGTATTGCAACTTAGAGGCAGAACTAGGAGTGTTTGTTCTCCTATACCATTTTTGTTTTCTTTTGGCCGGAAGAGAAGGAAGGGGTGGGGGATGAAAGGGTTTTGTTGTGATGGAATGCCTTGGCATATGGAAGTAGCAAAGGATAGCATCATGTCGCCGTGAACATAGCAAATTTGTTGAGTCAGCTGGTTTTTGCTAATAGTTGAACGAAAATGAAGTGTGCTTGGATAAGGTAAAGAACCAATCAGCATGTCAAACATTTGAAGAACTAACAGATTGAGACATAGCATCATTCAGCATTTGGTTTCAATTGTGGCTTGTGCTTGATTTCTTTTGTTTTCTTATGATAATCATATATCCAAATGTCCAATTACAGGCTTACTAAAAGTACAGAAACTTGAATCAAATGTCTTTGTGAAATAAAAACATTTCATGCTGAAACGTAGAGAATTGTTGATAATATATGATTTGTCTCGATATTACACAAAATTTTCCTTAACCTGGTGATATGCTAAGTTCCTTTAACTTCAATCGACTTTTAAAACACTGATCTAAAAGCTAGTACTATTCTTCCTTTGATTGCTACTGCTGCACATGATCCCAAATACCCATTGTTTTTGCAGGATATTAGAAGGGAGTTGGGCGTATCCTCGTTGGATGAAGTTGAAGAAGAAAAAGAACTAAAGCAAATGGTGAGTGCTGTCTACAGTATCTACAGTATGAACCATAAAACATCCTGCATTGTATGGTAGCTTAATGTGCACTTGTTCATGTTTGTTTACCTTGTTGACCAGGATTACAACGCAAAATGTAAAGCCTGTCAACACTTGGGCATGTCTTACGTTGCTCGACAGGTATATTAAGAAAAACTTCATCCATCTACAGTTGGAAATTTGTTTATGATAGGTGAAACCTATATTAACCCAATCTACATCATAAATGTCATGTATTTCACTTTGTTTCTACAGATCAGATCTGCTGATGAAGGGCAGACTATATTTTATACATGCCCTGTTTGTGCAAGCAGACAGACAGAGAATTCATGACATGACGATGACTTCAACATGTTGGAACTGAGGTATCTTTTAATATTTTTCCATGTTCTTTCTTGAACAGTAGATTGGGTACTTAAGATTGGGCGGTTACAAAAGGGTTAGGATCAAGCTAAGTTCCTTTATCCATCAACTACCATCTCTTCCTATCTGCAACAGATTGGTCAGGAACTCTAGAACTGCATGTCCTTCAAGCTGGTGGCGCCTTATTGTTTCCTTAAGGCTGCACCGATCCTGGGTGTTATTTGTTGTTGTAATGGTGATATTCTAGCTTTTTCTTTTGGAGGAAGGTGAGTTGAAGAAGTTGTTAGATAGGGATATGAGAGTTGAGATGGATTCGAGCTAATCTAGGGCTTCCTCTGCCCAATTAGGATAGCGGAAGTGCCTGCCGTTGTTGATCAGGAGAAAAATGGATTTAGGGCGTGGAACAAAGGGTTTGAATTTGAGTTTGTTTTGTGCATCTCAAGTTGAATGGTCTCGGCGTTATCTTTCCACCTTTGTGATTCTTTACAGGCTTAATTCTTTTTGACATGCCAATGACACTTTTTTAAGTATGATTCACACCAAGTGGAGTTTCTAATGTATCAATTTACAATACTTAATCTCTTCTTACTTTTCTATTTGCCAAAATCTAGAATTAATCTACGAACAGTTAAAAGTATTGGTTGCCATGACACGATGACATAGTTTACTGTTTCGGCAACTGCTCGAGAGTGCCAAGACAACCGCTAGCGAAGTGATTTGACGATCGAAGGAGCGAGTGAGAGTTCATAGTGAGTGAAAGATTATTGGAAACTTTAAGGTTTTTGTCTGTAAAATCCATTGTTATAGTTCATAAAACATTACTAAAATAGTTTTTTCGTTGAAATATGGGAAATAGTTTTGCGAATTGAGAAACAGAATTTAAAAAATGTAATTGGGCCGTTAGTTTATTGTGTCGGGGATGGCGCCTCAAAGGGCTCAATTGTCCAGGCGAACATATAGCATTTTCCATGAACAAAAACTTGCGTTGATTATTGTAGGGTAGTGAAAAAACAAAATCCAGGCTGGGTGGGCCGCTGGAAGTTTAGACCATAATGAAATTCGATTGCTTTGAGTCCAACCCGACATCGTCCGTGCAGCAGATGGTCCCCGCCGCCCAGCGTCAGACTTTTTTCAGATCTAGGTACTCATCGTCGTTGGTCCAGAATGCCCCGAAATGAACAATTCTTCTGCAAGCCCAAATTCGATTTTTTTTTTTTTTTTGAGGATTTAAATTCGAAATTCATTTACTCCATTATATATGGATTATTCGTTAAAAACAAACTAAGCCCTGCTTGATTCAGCAAATTGCCTTAGATTGGTTGTTGGATTTCGGATTTGATTAGTTGAAGTGTTATATAAACAGATTAAGCCTTGCTCCATTCGGCAAATTGTCTTAGTGTTTTTTTTTTTTTTTTTTGACAGAACAAATTGTCTTAGTTTGGTTTCAGCTTTGGTTTTGACAGGCTTCTTTCTAGCGTTTCTCCAACTTGTGGTTTCTCACGGTTCACAGAAAACCAAATAGTAGCAGCAAATGCAGCAACGGGAGGTTCCACACCATGTTTTTTTCCATTGCAACCAACAGGAAAAGTGAAACACAATAAACTGAGCTACCACAAATCTAAAGCCACTTCACATAATCAAAGCGAACAAATAGGACGTAAGCAAGCTTGCATTATAGTTGTATTATTCATAAACTTCCCAACAAAATCAAAAGGAAATACAAACCAACCAACCAACCAACCAACCCTGATGAACTCCTAATTTATGGCCTTGCGTCTTGCTTGCTTCTTGTGCACCCCATCTCAAAAAACACAGGCGGTGATCACAAAATTACAGAAGCCATATGTAGGGGGGAAAAAAGTAAACAAGAAAAAAGAAAAGAAAGGGAGACATGGTAGAGGAGGAGAACAAAAAGAAACTCTGGGTCCAATCCAAAAAAGAGAGCATACAGCTTTTCTACAACCTTTTTTTTGTATCCGAACACCGAATAACCGCCTCAGTAGTCTATTTGACTCTTAAGGCTACGGTTATGGACTAAGGAAGTCGAAGAAGTCGCCGAAGATTGTCTGTTGCTCCGGCGTCTATTCCTGCAGCCTCGGCGTTGCAGCTGAGCTTAGGCCTCAATGAAAAAGTGGGCAAAGGCAAGCTGCTTGGTGGAGGAGAGATCGCACTGAACGCCACAGATCCGGAGAACTGGTCGACCTGATCTTTCAAGGCATCAAAAGAGCTAAACTCATTAGTACTACTAACACTAATAGCGGTAATATCACCGGATAATGAAGTCAAAATCTTTGGAACACTTTTGGGAAGATTCTGGGGGTCTGGTCCCAATGGTTTCAAATTCTGTTCCTTTTTGTGAATGGTTTTGGATTTCTTGGGGGTTAGAGATGAGTCTCGAGTTCTGACATTCTTATTATTGGCCTTTCTGCTGGTTGGTGGGCAAGAGAGGCCTCTGGCTAGAGGGGCTTGGGTAGTAGTATTTGTAGTGTTATTTGGTTTGGTAGTAGCGGAGATGGGGAGAGGGAGAAGGGGTGGTTGTCGTCGTTGGAATGAAAATGGAGGGTAGGAGTAGGAAAGGTGGTGGTGAAATGGCGGAGGATGCTGGAAAAGACCAGTATCTTGCAGGTTTATTATCGGAGCGAAGTTCTCAGAGATTTGTCTTGAAATGAAAGGAGGACGATTGGTGCCTCTTTTGGGGGTAGTATCTTTGATGTGGGATTTGTACGGTGAAAGTTGTTGATGATCCGGGGACGAATGCAACAGTATTGCCTCCATGGAAGATGATTAGCAAAGATTCGGGAGAGCTTCTTAAGAAGAGAACGGATCTAAAGCTGAAGAAGATATTGAGGGATGATCTCAAATAAACACGGATCAATAGCCCTAAAATCTATAGATCAAAAAAGTTAATCTAGAGCTAATCTTCACAACAAGAGGACAAGCAGATAATAACGGTGTATGCAAATGCAAAAGGATTACAAGAATGTACAGATACTTTCGTTTATGTATAATCTAGAGCATATATATATATATATAACTAGCTTAAAATTCTCTTGAAAAAGTAGCTGACAGACTTCCTCAGTGCCCAAAACTTGATCTTTACCATGGCACTAACGATTCAATAACAAAGAAAAAACCAAGAATTTCTTTTTTGGTCTTGTATGTGAAAGATAAAATATCTGTAAGGACTAAAGAAGAGAGATCTACAGAACCCAGAAGTGGTCTAGCTGGGATTTCAGAGAAGGCAAGTCATGAATCAGTTCTTTAAGGCAAGCCCTCGTTATATAGAACAAGCTTTCAACGGCTACCCCATCATATGATAGTTTCTTTTCTCTCTCTCTCTCTCTCTCTCTCTCTCACAGTTCTACAATTTCTTTTAAATTTACTTGGGTAATTTTTTTTATTGAATATAGGAAAGTAATTTCATCCTAACATGTCGACAGCAGCAGCAGTCTTGCCGGCCATGGATGAATATAGGCTGAGCAAAAAGACCAATGACCGCCACGATACTTACTACCGTATCCCCGGTTCTTAGTAGGATACTGTAGGGCGGCAACCGCCAATTTGATGGGGACCGTCGGATTCATTTTTTTTTAAGATTTAGCCGTTGAGGTGATTATGACCGTTGATGTTTCCTGTGTATATTGTGCCTGGTCAGAAAATGTCTCCCGGTAATCCCTGCCATACACGTGTATATTCACTTGCGTCGTCCGCATGACCTCACCTGCAGGGTTTTTATTTTTTATTTTTCTTCTTTTCTTTAATATTTTCCTATCTCATCTTTGTTGAAAATTGCACGGAATCCGGCATTGATGAAAAATGTGCCTAAGAACTATTTCAGATGTATAGACATTCTGTTGGGACTTGGTCAATAGACGATGTTACGTATTGATTTTTTTCTCACAACGATAACATTTATATAATCAACTCTAATTTAGTATAAAGGAAAGAAGAATTGACGGAATTTTTTCGTTGAAGTAAGTCACAATTAAGTGGCAAGGTGGGAGATAAAGGTTGAACCAACAGTCTCTTAGACTGTTGATTGTTACATATTGCTATATATATATTAAATTTGATAATGAATTGGACTAATTCATTTGGATTATATAAATTCGACGGTGGTAAAAAGACAATTGAATTTTTTTCCTTTTTTGTCGTAGGAGAACTCCAAATCTTACCAAGTAAAAAAAAAAAAAGAAGAAGACGAAGTAGAAAATATAAAAATTTAAGATTTTCTACTATTCTTTTGGGGTCATCTGTTTCAAAGTAGGGTGAGCTTCTGATTCAATAACTTCACCCGGCCAAGAACCTTCATCATCTTGAACCTGAGTATGCAGTCTAAACAAATGACTTTTCTAATTTACATGAACTATTGTCCTACGCTACTTAGTAATTGGGGAAAACAAAACAAGTATATATTATCGGTTGAGATTATTAATGGAGCTTACCAGCCACTCATGACCTTTAAGGCAAGAATCCATCATATTAAAGCAAACAAAGTTTGATTTTTTCTCATCCATATTGTTTGCGTCTAAAGGCAGCTATATATATATATATGCACTCTTAATTTGTCCCCAGTTGAATATTTTCACCTTATCCCAGGTTCTGAAATAGTTTACCTACCAGAAAGAAAAAGAAAGAGAAAGGAGGACTTCCCATATGTACTTTTTAATTAAAGTTTTAAAAACTCTAACCCATCCTCGTGATGGACATAGCGATGTCTGTTCAGTCGGCTTCTTTAACATTTGTACTCCCCTCAAAGATAAACTATTACTCCATCCTTTTTGTACATCTTTAGCTTAATTAAGAAAAACAAAGACATCAATTTGAAGTTTTAGGGAGTAAACATATAGCATATTTTGTTAGCAATAATGACAACTTTTTCCTTGTTTGTGTTGTTTTAAATGCTGAACCAGAGCCAGAGGCAAGAGAAAAACTAGCCAGAAGTTCTACAGTACAGAGTTGAACAACTTTGTGAAATCAAGTAAGAAAACTGTCCGCTTTTCCATCTTTGTATTTTTGCGTATGTACACTTCAGAAACCATTGGCAGCGAATGTGTAGTCTCTTATTTTCAATGTTAACGTTACGTGTATGTCATCTATACCCTTAGCGAATATCTCTTTGACACTGGAAGATTACAGCTCCAACTTTCAGTTTCAGTAGGTGGAATACGTACATGTTTAAACAGTACGAGAGAACATCTTCTGCACCCTATAGCGTAGTCCAAAATGATGGGTTGAAATTTTCATACTGCTGTTGCATGCGCAATAATTTAACTCCACTGACCATGCATGTAATGACAGTACCCTATTTTTACCTGTTTCTTCTAACTTTTGTATTTCTCTGACATTTTTGCGATAGACCTGAAAAAGAGTTCTAAAAACTAAATACTACTGCCACATAAAAAAAAAAATTTTTTTTAAAAAAAAAAAAGTGAAAGGTCGTAGTTGTTAGGGTTCCTTCGACTGAGCAAGAAAACCGATCGAAGTGCCTTTCTTGCTGCCTTGGCGTTGAGGGCAACAGGTATACCACTCGCTATAGAAGGTCAGATCGAGTGAGAGGACTATTTGCAGCC